AAATAAACCATGTCATAGGATCATATAAACACACCATGTCATAGGATCATATATTTTATTTTTCAAACATTTTACAATGAAAATAAACCATCCATTTTAAAAATTAAATCCCTCGTCCTGGTCAATGGAAAACCGTAAAGGATAAGTGGTCGATTCTTTATATATGTATTCCTTAGGATGGTCAATGACCAGGCAAGTGAAAGTGGCCACATTAGTGAATGATTTAATTTTGATTGCATGGTTTTTTTGTTCTTTATTATTTTATGTTACAAATGAAATGAACAAATTTCTAAATAAATAAATATATAAATGGAAAATAAATGAAAATGCTAAACAACGATACAAATCAAGTCAAGCAAATTGCTCCCAGATGAAGGTTCTCAGTCTTCATTGCCTGATTGGTGAAGTAGTCATCCTACAAATCAATACAGTTCACTATATTTTTGTAACTTGTACCGTGTCCTAAAAAATTATTATCAATGATTTTTATGAACCATTTGCGTGTAACATGATTTTAAAGAGAATGTGTAATAAAACTCACAGAGYTAAACTTGTGCTCAGGTACAAACTTCACGTCCTGGCTTCAGATGGGAAGTGGGAAGATTATACAACAGTAACAGTAAATGTGGTGAACAAGAATGATGAGGCACCAATCTTCACAGTCAACGAGTACTATGGCAGCGTAACAGAGGAGTTGGATGGTTCACCCGTGTTTGTTTTGCAGGTGCAGTGTTTTTATTTCAGCTGTACTATTTTTTTTTTTTATTTTGCATATCTGTGTGATCACCATTTCCTTAAACAAGTCCTGACTTTAGGAAATATGAGAAAAAAGATCATCACCAGTGAGGTTACTGAAGATTTGTAACTTTTCATGTGTCAGATGTATTGGTTTATAACTTGCCGACTATAGTAAGTTGTGCAATTTACAAGCTTACCTAAACAAGACCACCCATTCAGCTGGTCAGTTTTTCTGTTGCGTTGTGTGCACATTACAGTTGCACAGCTGTGCTGTTCTGTCAGATGCTATAGTAGAGTTCATTACCTGTTGACAAAAACCTGCCAGCAGGGAATACCATTTTCACGAGGTGTTGTTCTTAGAAACCAGTAGTGCTTAGAGAGCATTCACGTGAATGAAAGATTCTGTTTTCCAAGCAGAATGTGCTACAAGTATTAAATTATCTTCCTTTCCTTCTTGTCTTCTTGTCTTTTCTGCAAGTACAATATGCAGACACGATAATTTGAAAGAAAGAAATAAAAGCAAGTACTAGTAGACTAGACAATTTATTTTTTGTTGGATTTACCCATTTGAATTTCTGACCACACCGTGAAGTTGTTGAATTCTTTCTATTCAGATACTTAGTGAAACCYCTTTTTAGTATACAACAAATGCACATTTACTATTTTCTTTCCTTTCTGTGGTTACAATGATGTAGGTGACAGCATCTGACCCAGATAAGGATGCTGACCAGGAGGCCCTGCGTTACTCCCTTCATGGTCAGGGTGCAGAGAGTGAATTCATAATCGATGAAGTAACGGGGAAGATCTATGCCCAGCGGACCCTGGACCGCGAGGAGCGTGCGGTTTGGCGTTTTGTCGTCCTGGCAACAGACGAGGGCGGTGAGGGTCTAACAGGCTTCACAGACGTCATCATCAATGTTTGGGACATCAATGACAACGCACCCATCTTCCCCTGCGCTCTCAGTTGCCACGGAGATGTAGCAGAGAACTCTGCGACAGGAACTTCTGTCATGGAGATGAGTGCGACCGACCTGGATGACTCGGCTGTGGGGCAGAATGCTGTTCTCTCTTATAGGATAGTGGGCAGTTTGGACGCCACAAGTGCTGAGTTAGGAGGAGTTCCCACCTTCTCAGAAATGTTTACAATCAACCCCACCACAGGGACTATAGCTGTAGGGATAGGTGGTCTGGACAGAGAACAAGTTGAGTCCTACCTCCTTGTTGTGGAGGCCAGAGATGGAGGAGGAATGACAGGAACTGCAACTGCAACCATTCTGATCAAGGATATGAATGACCATGCTCCAAGATTCACTGATCACTCCTGCCTGGCACGGATCTCTGAGAATGCAGAACCCAATGCAGAGGTGAGTCAGAATTGCTTCAACATATACGGTTACTTACCGTATTTCTTCAAGTATAATACGTAAAATTAAATCCATAAAATCATCCATAAAGTTGGGGATAGTACTATACTCGGATAAATATTTTTACTTATGTATCCATCCATCCATCCATTTTCTTCCGCCTATCCGGGGTCGGGTCGCGGGGGCAGCAGCTTCAGAAGGGAGGCCCAGACCTCCCTCTCCCCAGCCACTTCTTCCAGCTCCTCCGGGGGAACTCCAAAGCGTTCCCAGGCCAGCCAAGAGACATAGTCCCTCCAGCGTGTCCTGGGTCTTCCTCGGGGCCTCCTCCTGGTAGGACGTGCCCGGAATACCTCACCAGGGAGGCGTCCAGAAGGCATCCTTACCAGATGCCCGAGCCACCTCAACTGGCTCCTCTYGACGTGGAGGAGCAGCGTCTCTACTCTGAGTCCCTCCCGTACTTATGTATTTTAACTGAAATATCGGCTTCATTCACTAAATGCCTGAGTCCAGAAATGAGACTGCATCGTGAAAAAGCAGTTGAAATGAGCATACCTCTGACTCCTCCGTGCTTCAGAGCGAGATAGTAACAGATCCAGGCAGGTGACATGATGTGAAAACGGGGAAAAATCAGTCCTGCACCTTAGTAATGATAGCGAACTAATGACATTAGTATGTGACTGAGCCGCTCCTCGAACAACAACAAACACATGTTCGTCTGTAATGACTGCCGTCTACCGGTGTTCTGAAAAAGTTTGTATCCCTGAAAAAATGTTTCCCCACCAGAGGGGGCGCTCGCGAGTAGGAAGTAATCTGCTTTTCCCCCACAAGATGGCCCAAATCTCATGTGAAGTCTCTGACTTTTGTGTTGGCGCATCCTGGTGGACTATGTGTAAAATGCCAGAATGACGCTGCTACAGCTTATATTTATATTTGTTGTCAAAATACCTTTTTAGTATATATGTTGTTAAAATAAAATGAACAATCCAATGATCATTTTACTGATATGTATAAAGACTGCGAAGGCTGAAAAATCTTGTAGTCTGTATGAAATTGGAGGTAGTTTGAGGATTAATTTTTTATGCTTTTTTAAGCTCAAAAGGTGGGGGGGGGTCGTATTATACATGAAATCGTATTATACACGAATAAATGTGGTACTTACTTTACTGAAACAGTAATCCAGCTGCTATGATGCATATTTTTTATATCTGACTGTATTTTTTGTACAGTACATACACATATTTCATCTATAACTTTTACTTTTTTAACCACAAAAAAACTGTATTGTATTCACTTGAATCTGTTAGTCTGCTTAGTGTGTTCACACTTTTTTTTTCCTGCACCTTTTAGTTAGCAATGTTCAAAATATTATACCTGATGCATAATATTTTGAACTTTATGATTTTACACAGTATTACTGTCTGTTTTAAGGTCTTGGAACTGGCTGCAGAAGACCGGGACACTGGAGAAAATGCCCAGTTAACCTTTAGTGTTGTGGCTGGAGATCAAGAACAGAAATTTTACATGGTCAGTCTCAAGCAGGAGCAGCGAGGCATCTTGAAGCTGAAGAAACGTTTGGACTATGAAAGACACAGTGAGCAGAGGTTCAACCTCACTCTGAAGGTGCATGGTCATTTTTGATTCAACCTGTTTCTTTTTTGTTTTGTATAGTTCCTAAAATTAGTTTGAGGATAAACGGTCTTAACTTTTGGAATGCATTAGAAACACTGTAATCCAGCTCATCATTGTTTTGTGTGACAGAAAGTTTTTAATGATATGTCATGGTTTTACTTTTCCATCATGTGTGATAATGTGTATGTGGTTCTTCTTTTAGGTTGAGGACTTAGACTTTTCAAGCTTTTTGCACTGCTTGGTTGAGGTGGAGGACTACAATGACCATGCCCCTGTTTTCATTCCACACTTTCTTGCTCTAACCCCSCTYCCTGAGGATATCAGCGTGGGGACCAGTGTGGCTCGTCTGGTGGCCAGTGATTCAGACTCAGGCCAGAACCACGAAATCACCTACAGCCTGTCAGAGGACTCAGATCCTGATGGTCTGTTCGCTATTGACCAGTCTGGTGTACTCTCAGTGTCTCGTCCACTAGATCGAGAGAAAACAGCCCAGCATCTCTTGGTTGTCATAGCATCTGACCATGGGATTCCACCTCTAACAGGAAGTGCCACTGTTCAGCTGCCTCTGTTGGATGTAAATGATAATGGACCAGAGTTTGAGGCTGCATACTCCCCAGTAGTTTTTGAGAATGTTGCTGGACCACAGGTAGGCTTGAATCTTTTTGACAGTGGTGGGCAGCACTAATCTAAAAAATGTTCCACTAGCCCTAAAACACTAACTCAAATATGTAGGTCCCCTAATTCTAAAGCACTAATGCACTGAAAGTTTTAGTCAAAGCTAATTCTAAAGCACTAAAATAACCCAGTCAAACCGTGAACATTCTTCAACAGACAACATGAGTCACATGTTGCCTTGTAACTCTCCTAAGACGTATCATTGACATTCCACAGCTGTATTTAGGTTCATATATTGTCACCTGGTGGAAAGGTGACACACATATGAACAGAATGAGTGACAGCTTCACCTTCAGCTGTTAACATTAACATTGATCAATAACATCTATAGACCTCAGTTAGTGCTTCTAAATTTAGCCTATAAATTTAGCAAGTGCTAATCCACTAATAAATTTTAAAATGAGCAAAAAGCCCTAAAGCACTAATCAGGAAATTAGTTCCTCTATTAGTGCTTTAGGGGAACTGTGCCCACCACTGCATTTTGATTTATACATATATTCTTACTGAATGTTTTACATTAGTGGTGATACTGAAGACACAGTAGCTTCAACAGAAACTCCTCCCTTTTTAAAAAATGACAGCTCCTCATCTTCTCCCTCTTGTTTAGGTAGTAAGGTTGAACCAAACATCAACTCTCATCCAAGCTGTGGACAAGGACTCCCCTGAAAATGGGCCTCCTTTTCATTTCACAGTGCCCCCGGAGTATCGCTACAGCAATGATTTCTACCTTCAGGACAACTTGAATGGAACAGCAACACTAACAGCTTTGAGGACATTTGACCGTGAGCGCCAGAAAGAGTTTCTCCTTCCTATAATTATGAGTGACAGTGGTCATCCAGCCAAAACAGTGACCAGCACCCTGACTGTGACCATCGGTGATCAAAACGACCACCCTCATGTGTCAGGGGAGAAGCAAATTTCCATCAATAGCCACAGAGGTAAGAAAATCTTTCCATTTGTAGATGAGGGGGGAAAACTGCTCTGGCACATCTTCCTCCTAAACATTTTAAATTTAAAAACACGTATATGCTGTGTGGGCTATGTTCAGCCTGAATGTTTCCCAAAGTGCTGTTTTTTAGACTTCCTCATTCTTTTTGAAAATTTGTTTGCACCACATTTCTGGATAAATGTGAAACAAGGTATGCCATTTTTTTGTGAAGAATGTTTCTATATGTTGTAAAATAAATCTGATTATTACCAGAGACTAGACAGTGATGGTAGGAGTCATTACACCAAAATGTTTGTTGTGAGTTGAAACCCATATTAAATTTAGATGAAAGCTGCTAAGGTCCATCACATCCCAGAGTTGCCTGACTTTGATTACTTTGATATTTAATATTACCTCACCATCACTTAAATGCTAACTCTTCAATTTTGGAAAACAATAAAATCACAATGAAAACAATAAAAATGACAAATGAAAACAAAAAAAAATAAAAACAATAAAATGACAAATATTTTTCTCTTTTAGAAGTAATCTCAATCTAAGAAATTATAAGGCAGAAAGTCACTTTTTTTCTGACCAGATCTTGAAATCAGAAGTAACCGTATTGGTAATTAATTGAGTCTGTTTTAAAAGTAAGACAATCTGCTTTTTATTCAAGGTGGAATTAATTTGGTTTAATTTTTAAACAACTTGTAATTGACCTTGCTACCTCTGTTGATAATTTGGAAACATTCTTTTTATTCATTCACCTGTCATTTACATATTAAGCACATTTAGCATGCGCTCATTCTGTTGTATTGAACATTTTTCTTCTAAAGCTTGAGGCAGACAACAATTAGCTAAAAGTCAGCAGTTCAAGGTATGTATTTAAATGTTACAGGATACATATATACAGTATATATTACAATAATTCTTACATAGTTCAGTTTTGTAATTCTAATTGATTATAAAAACCATGTTTCAAGCATAAGTTTTATCCATACGCTAACTGTTTCCCTGTTTAAATCACTTCTGATTTCACTTTGTTGCACTGCTGATAGGCAGCCATGTTCAACACTTGAAACAACCACATTCAGAAATTTCATTTTTCAAAATCTTTAAGCACATTTTTTTTTATCATATTAGTAGTGTTGTGAGTTTTAAGGTCCTAAGCCAGCTCCTTCTGATTGCTGTTACACATGTATCATGTGCAATAGAAATTTAAACACTTATTTATTTATTATTATTTTACTGTTATTTAACCAGGCATGTCCCATTGAGATCAGATCTCTTTTTCAAGGGAGGCCTGGGTCTGAAGGCAACCTATTGTACATGTTTTTGGGGTAAGGGGAAACTGGAGTACACAGCAAAAACCCACGCAAGCACGAGGAGAACATGCAAACTCTGCACAGAAAGATCCCAGGTCTGAACCAGAGATCGAACCCAGGACCTTCTTGCTGTGGGGCACCGGTGCTAACCACTGAGCCATCGTGCTGCCAAGATTTGCACGAGACATGTACAGATGAAATGTCAAGGCAGCACAATGTCTTTACTTTTAAAATGTATTTATTTTTTTTCCCTGCACTTTAAGTAGCTTGACACAGTCAATCCACAAATTGTGCTTTCATTTTTCCTTTTTTTAGGTCATATGCCAACAACAGTTCTTGGAAAAGTTTATGCTCCAGACCCTGATGATTGGGACAACAAGACCTATGTTTTTGAGGGGCATATGCCAAGGTAAAACCATATTGAAAAGTTCACTAGTTTCTGGCCATAACTGTGTCCTAACAGAATGGGTTCTAAATGAATTTGACATGGCTGTTACTGTATCTTTATAAAAGAAAAAGAAAATGCATTTAAAACAAGACATGAATATATCAGTTGCCACCATGTATTTCAGCACCTTAAAACTATTATCGAAAATATCCTGTAAATCACTAAAGAATGAAAATTAATTTGAGAGAATCTAGTCAAGAAAAAATGCTGACAATTATACAATGTTGTAGTTTTAAATGTAAATACTGTAAACCCAAGATAATTGATCTTACACTTGTCAGGTAATTTATCATATTTCAGCCACTGCATGTGGCTATGCTCAAAGAAATTAGCCTCTACGCTATCATTAGCCCAGACATTGGTATCTTAAAATAAATGGAAACAGGACTGTTGCTTTAACCAGTCAGATTTTGAGTCAGGAACATTGGGACCATCTAGCAGCCCCAYGAAGATATCAGCATTTTCACATCATTTGATTGGACAGTCGGAGAGCATAGTAGGGTAGCAAAGGACATCGTCGTCTTCGTCATTCTCGTCATCATCAACATCATCAACATTGTTTATTTATAAAGCACAATAAAAAGCAAAGTGCTGTACAGGAACAAAAAATACAAACAGTGAACAAAATACAGTAACAGAATAAACAATAACATCAAACAAAAACAAAGGCTGGCCTAATGATCGTGCTCTTCAGGCTCAAATGCCTGTTTAAACAGATGAGTTTTTAACAGAGACTTAAACTCATTTAGAGACCCAGCAGACCTCACAGACAGTGGGAGATTGTTCCAGAGCCTAGTACCTGCAAATGAAAAGGCTCTGTCTCCCCTGGTCACAAGCTGAGACCTGGGAACAACTAAAAGCTTTTGATTTACAGATCTTARAGATCTGTTTGGAATGTGAGGCTGTAAAAGTTCAGTAAGATAATGAGGTGCCAAACCATTTAGACATTTAAAAACTAAATCTTAAAAACACTTCTAAAAGAAATGGGCAGCCAGTGAAAAGCATTCAAGATCGGAGTGATGTGTTTGTGACGTTTTGTCCCTTTTTATAAACAGGCAGCTGAATTCTGAACCAGCTGTAGAACCAGACTTAGAAAAGACTTTTGACTTTTTTGTGCAGAAGTTACAGTGTTTTTTTTATACTCAAATTGTCTGAAGGATGAGTAGAAACTGATTTGGTTGCAGATGTTCTTGCAATGCCTTTTTCAAGACATACTTTTAAAGAAAAGCTGGACATTATGAGGAAAAGGTGGCAAACCCTGAAGATAGCAGGCCTATCCCGGCCCTGGAGAGGGTTTATYTGCCTTTTTCGATATGACAGCTATAAGTGGTACCTGTGGCTCACAGCCTCTGAAAAGCACTTAAGTTTGTGTTGCTGGGAATGTCTGTTATTTGCAACTGATCAATGCAGTGTTTGGAGTCACACTGGGTTTGCAAGCTTGAGTCGTTTAACCAAAGCAGCAATGAGACATTAAAGCACGGCTGGACACCTACAAGCATCGGTGCATTTGAAGTTTTACGGAAAACTGTGTGGATCTACATCTCAGTTACCAGGTGCACAAAAAGAAATGCAATCAAGGACACGGCTAGACACACTCCTCTTCTTAGCATTAGCCTCAAGGGCAATACAACAACAAGACCAAAATGTTGGTCACGTGTTTTAAAGTGTGAATGATTGTAAACAGAGTTTGGTGTGCAAMAATTGTCCAACAAATATCACTGACCAGATGATCTGGTGTTGTTATTGATAGATAATATAACAATCTTCTATATTTTATTTGAAGAAATTGTKATAAAGGCCAGTGTCCTTTCTTGTGTTTAACATACATTACATAACATACATACATACAGTGTTGACATTGTTAGTGTGTGTATTTTGTAATTTTGAATAATTTACAATCATATTATCCTGAATGGTATGTCTATTTTTCTAGCATTTTCCCCTTCATACCATTGAGTCTAATGTTCTCACTGGGATTGATTTTTAATATCCTCTTCACCTCCCTCATTGGTCTTCCTTCTCTAGTAAATGTGTTCCTTTTGTGTTTTTTTTTTTCTATTTGATGAGGAGTTTCTGGTCTGAAAGATGCTTTCCCAGAGACCTTCCCTTGTCAAAAGTGACAATGAGTTGATTCCTTCTCACACACTTTTCTAGGCCAGCATCCATTGTATCTCACTCTCCATCTTTCAGACTCTGCTGAAACCAAAATGACAAAAGATTTTCTCATTTCTRTCTTATTGTTCAGCCTTTCCTGTGAGTAATGACTATAGTATATGTTAATAAAAATTTGATSAGCGCTTTCAGCTCCATGCTTCATRCTTGAGTTCCTCTTTTAGCAACAGTGTAATGGCTTCTAACGAAACCTAACCTCCTGYATCTGTTGGTATTATGTTTTATCTCAGTATATTAATTTCACTGCCTTTTTATGGTTTTGAAATAGCATTGTATACTGTGTCTGCTTGGTGAAAAGCTCWTGTGATCATTGTTTTTTTTARTATTTTYTCCTTGGTTGTTTTGTTTACCTGAWACAGRCAGAAMGTTTGACCATTCTGAACAGAGAAGCATGAGGTCATGACCTTTTTGGGTACCTGTATGGCATTGATAGTGTGTATCAACTCAAATGAAACATTGGTGAATCTTTTTAAATTGTTGTGTAGTCAGGTCTAAAATGATAAGTGGTAGACATAACAATTAGTGAATTCTGGCTTCAGCAAACATTGATGCTCGCTTACACAATWCAAAGTGAACTTAATGCAGTCCTTGTGTCTACAAGTAGTTTATTATTTGAGTATATATTCTGCCTCATATTTCCTCTAATTAGCATAAAATAGTTCATTAACTGAACAAGAGCAGCATGAATTGAATGAAGTAGAAATTTTCTCTTCACCTCTTTGTGCTCTCTGTTTCTTCTTTCTCATGCATCATTTCTGTTCAGTTGATTTTAATTTTCCAGAGACCATCTGACAAACAAAAAAATAAATAAATTGTAAAATAAAATAAAATACATTGAGACATTTCAACTATTTTTTAATCAATGAAATTAAAAATGTTTTGTCTTTCCTCTGGCAAGAGGCAAGGTTCAATGGGTTGACTGAAATAAGATGGCCAGTAGGGTTTAGTCTGTTTATTTTATTTTTTATTTTTCACATGCTGACCCTGACAAGCTCTGGAGCATTGCAGACCAGTTGATTCTGGTTCATACAACGATCACCCGGTTGATCTGTGCTCAGGCAAGGTGTGTAATAAATAATTAATAATGTAATAAAAATTGGTTTGTTCTTTCCCCCAGTTACTTCATCCTGAACAAGAGAACCGGTTTCCTAATCATTAAGGAGAACACCCCAACAGGAACTTACCAGTTCCAGGTCCGAGTGTCTGATGGAATTTGGCCAGATGCTGTCTCCACTATCACTGTACATGTCAGGGAGCTGCGAGAGGAGGCCATCTACAACTCTGGGTCCCTTCGCCTGGCAGGTGAGAGTGAGTCTCTACAGATATTCACTTGGACCTCGGGTGAGACTGCATCTTGCTTTACTTTCCGATTGATGACTTTTAGCCCACTGTTTCTTAGTGTTGTCTGGTTTATTGGCATGGTGCTCACAGTTAGCGAATGCGTTTTCAATGTGCAGTCAGTTTTTGGAGTATGCTTCTCTTCATGTCTCTTAAATACTTTATTCAGCCTAAAAACCTGACATTATGCTGTCAGAGCTGGACTTTATATGTTCAGTCAGAGAAAACAAACAAACAAAGAATCATCATACACTATTTGTCAAAAACTTTAGAAACATGTATATTGAAGACAACGTTGGAATCAGATTTGTTTAAAACGTTTAATAATTCTATGAGGAAAATACATAGTGTGCGGAATGCTGCACTACACAAACTTTCTTTACCATTAAACTTTATGTAGCTTTTATTTATTTATTTATTTATTTATTTATTTGGTTAATTGTTTTTTAAAACCATAGCAAAAGGCTTGACACGGTTAGTTATGGCCCCCCCACGTGCACTTAAACTAGTTTACAGCTGCCAGAAACTTCACTTGCTGTCATCCTGCCAAGAATGCTTCTGAAAGATGGGCTGTGACACAAGTTCTATAACAGCAACAAGTACTGTTGGACCCACAACAATACCAATTTGGGATGAGTCCTGCTGACAAGGAGGTGTTGAATGTGCTCATTATTTGCAGACTTGTCTCAAGTTATAGAAATAGAGTTGATTGTTGTTTACTCCTCTCGCTTGCTGTGTTTCAATTTTTTTTTGTTTAGAACCATTTTCTCAGAATGATTACTGCTGATATTAATTCCCCCTCCCTATCGCAGGGGATGTCAGCAGTTGTCAGTGCCCATTCGGAAAAGCCTGTTGCCATTACTTACTCTGGCAAAATAATTAGTTGTGTATCTGCTCAGCCAGCACATTCCCCTCTCATGATGAACGGCATCCATCATTACCTGATGTACAGCACATCTCACTCTGCTCAGAATTAAATTCGATTTAGAGAAATAGGACATGGCTCAAGGATTTTTATGATTTTAGAGATAGTATTATATATTCAATAGAAGTAAATGGGAAAGGCCAGTGAATGATCTCCAAAGATGGAACGAGAGCAGAGGAAAAGAATAAAGGAAAGGAAACGGTTCAAGTGAGAGTCAGGCCTCATAAGTAGATAAAAAGATTATTTCTCATTCCAAGGGAGGCCTGGGGTAAATTGATGATGTGCTAAGTGCCTAGCCAGCAAGGTGGCAAGCAGRTGCACATGTTTCAATGTTTGTGAAAAGAAAATTAATGCGGGTGCAAAATATATCTGAGAAAATTTGTGTCAGAGATTCATTATGGAAATTAAAATTGAACAATTTCAAGATGTAAGATGCGAAAAAAAAWTTGTATTTAATATATGAAGAAATGAAGCTATTTTATTTTCATCCAGTGTGTGTTGAGAATCTTTAGATTTTTGTAACCTTACTACTTAAGGAATGTATCTCTGCACATTGTAGTATTTTTTTGATACGTTGGAATGATATCATCTTTCAGATGGCAGGAAGTCAAACACCCTGGGGGCAAGGGAGGAGAACGTTTTCACTTTCACTTTACTGAGGGCTTGACTTTAAGKAGGTAGGGTGAAACCATTCAGCCTGGGCCTTGCTGTCTATGAAAAAGCAAAGCAGATGGTTGAGGTGTTTTTCTGTAGTGCTCTGGTAGAAGCTGGTGAGAAGGGAAGGGATAATTCTCCCACGTTGTTGTCTCCTGAGGAACTGTGTCCTCTGCTGACCTTCCTTGGTCAGTTGAGAGTCTAGGAAAGATTAGGGCCCTAACCACAAAAGAGTCATTAATTTGAGAGGGGGAAATCATAATTTTCTCTACAGTCTGCAATTAACTTTGTAGTTATGTGGACATGTTTCTCTTTTTACAAAACACCTCAAGTTGGGCCATTGGCTGATTCTAGCCATCTCATTTACTGAAAAGATAGAGGAGGCATGAGGGGTTGACATCAAGAGCTTGACCAGAGGTAGCTTAAAAAGAAAATTGTTTTTGCAGCCAATTTGTGAAACTGTTTTGTWAAAGAGGCTGTTATGAAACAGATTGCTGTCTCCACTCTCACTAACAAYTCCACCTCAACTCTGTAAGATGTTTCATTATCATTGTCAATGAGTCCCAGAGCAATTGCATTTTGTAAAAACAAATTATATATTTTTGTACTGAATTTTGCCACACAGTCACGTCTTCTCAGAGTGAMGAGTAAAGCACCAAGTACACATCTTTGAGGGACCCCTGTGTTCAGTGTAAGGTCATACTAACAACACGTCTCGACAGAAATGAAAAATAATAACAATAAACCAAACATCTAGAGCTGGACTGAAGTCTTTTTGTATGTTGTYCTGGATGACTTCAAATCTGAACCAGCGTCTTGACAGAGTGACTTTGTCAATACGAGTAGAGAGAGCTTCACTGTAATGATAAAGACTGATTAAAAGTTCCTTATGTTTTCTTTCTTTACATTTATTTATTTATTTATTTATTGGTCATTGAGACTTGTATTTTTCAACCAATTGATTTAGTATTATTAGCACATTGGTCAACAGCTTTTCCTTGTTGGGTGCTTTCTTTCTGTGAGGACTTTAATGGTACCATCAAACAGCTTTGAGTTACACTGTGTATTGATTTAATRGGCACTTGTAGTAATTGGAAGACTTAAATTGAGAACAAGAAAGCACCAGTGTCTGACACTGCTGTGAATATGCTCTTAAAATCACTCAAATGCTTTTAACCTGTGGTTCAGTCAGTAATAATTTCAGAAAAGTTGCCAATTTGCCCTTTTAAAACAGAATGCAGGATTAATGACTCTGAGATCATCCTAAGGTTCAGACAAGCTATTAAAACGAATGCATGTCTGTGTGTGTGTGTGTGAGTGAGAGAGTGAAAATATGATATTTAACAGCAGCTAATTCCTGGATTTTTTCCATGTGGAGCATTGGAGTAAACACTCATTGATTTTCAGTCCCAAGGATTATGAAAATATTCTACTTATAGCATTACTTACACCCTCCTTGACATTCTAAATCCCATTTCAAGAACAAATGTGGAATGCAATAAGAAAGCTCAAAGCAAGCACTAGTTAAGTCTGCCTTGCTGAGATTAAAGCTCCCTCTCACTTGCTAGCTTTCTCTGTATTGATGGAAAGGTAAAAAAAATGTAGTCAACAAAAAGTCCTTGAGATGTCTATGTAACAAAAACTGAAACAGAAACACGGTGCTGAGGCAAGAGCACAGTCAGAGCCATGAGTTAATTTACTGCATTTTTCGATGGACGGTTTTAACACAGAGGAATTTATAAAATATTCTTACTTAAATATGTATTTTCCTTTAATGGACTATGAAGCTTAAACATTTTAAAGAGTTAACCTAGAATGTTTAAATATCTGACTGATCTAACTGTATGTGGTGTGAATTCAACAAGCAAAAAAAAAAAAAAGATTATAAACTAAATTTAAATTGTGTGCAGTTGACATTCCTAGTTTTGGTGTTGCTTTTTTGGCATAGCCATTGCTGACACTGAATAAATTCATTAAAAAAAGAAAAAGTGGAAGAAAAAAAATGTTGAAACAGCTGAAATCCAACCAGGAGAAGTGTATTTTTGTCCTTTTTCCTTGTTCAGATAAACAGAAACTTGGCATGTGTTAGGATCACACACATTACACAACCCTCTCCTCCTCATCTTCATTTCAAACAAGCAGTGGTCTGTTGGAGAAGAGAAGGCAGAACCACTTCAAAGAGAACATTCGGTTTGTTTTTGTTCTCACGGTGTTGTCATGTTACCTCTCACAACAGTAAACAACTGAGTAAGATATTTATCTGTTTTTTAGCACCTATTTGTGTAAAAACCTAAAGCCACAGGCATGCGGGTGTCTGAAAACCACCTCAAATTCAGCCTCTGGGAAGGAGAAAGCAGAAGTGAGTAGGGAGGTTGGATCAAAGCCAGGTGCAAAGGCTGCCATTCTGTATTAGGAGTTACTATCCTTCCTCAAGCCCTCCCGACTGTCTCCCTGTCTGCCYATGTCCTTGTTTTTACTACTGGACCGACTGATGGAAGCTGACATTTGCCTCAATCCCTCAAGCTGTATCCGCTGAGCCTGATCTGGGCCCCAGGTCTTGTTTCCTAATGTTCAGGCTGTGTCTCCCGCTCTTACCGACTTAATTCTTCTGTCCACTTCATTTTACATACAGTATATGCACATTACCGGACACACTATCCATTTGGTTTTAAACTGGTGAATAAACACAATCAATAAAATCGGGAAAAAAATAAAACAAATTGTTTGATTCCATTAAATTGGCTGCAACACTGCTTCTTAAGTTTTGCCTTGTTCTTCATGTTAGATTTTGAACCTGGCATCTACATCTCGACAACTTCCAGGTGGCCTACCTTGACATTCCTTCTGTTCAGAATTTTGAAACTTTTCTGTCAAAACTGGTTGTGATTTAATAATGTGGTATAAAAGTATGAAAATGTGTTGCCAGTTACTTCTTTGACAGCACAGTTCAGTAGTTATTTTGTTTTGATCATGACCAGGGTGTCTGACAGATGTGTTGCAGTTGAATAATGTACTTCTAGATGTACTAATGACTGAATGTTAAGCATAACAAATGAATTAACTTAGCCTCTGGGGGGTGGACTTTAAAGTAACCATTAACAATGAAGTGATGAAACAAAAGTTCCTTTAACAAACATTTCCCTATTGTTGCTGGAATGATAATCCTTTAGGTTAGCTGCTTCTCGTTGGTCATAAATCATCGATTGAGCTGGACACTTCTCTTAAAGTTGTGAGCTTTTATTATGAAGCTGGCCTCTGAGTTGTGGAGTATAACTTCACTGTGTTGGTGTGAATAAAACGTGTGTCAGACACTATTTTAAATTCCACCTGCAATTGTCGAGTGGTACAGAGAGTCTGTAATTTCTAAATTACATCATCAAGCTGCCATGCTGGCTTGCACCTTTGTGTATTGATTGCTACATCTGGCATTACTTTGTTTGCTGGCTGACAGCAGAGGGTTGTCTTCAACCCCCATTAAAACCTTAGTCTGAAACACCAAGAAGGCATCTCAGGATTAAAAGTCATCAGTCATCAGCAATGACTGATGAGATTTTTTTGTGAATTTACTGTATTTTATATTTGTGTACTATGTATATTAAAATGCTGTATATCAAGTTTTTTTAAAAGAATTGATTGGTAGGTAAACGTAATTAAAAATCATTGAACCATAACACATGATCAGACACTAAATCGAGGAAAATGTTTTGTGCTTCTCTACTGTGGTTTATCTACCCCCAAATATTGTCAATATTTTTTAAATAATTTAATAATCAAAAAATCATGATCACTTTGCCATTTAGTAAATTTATTTTTCTCTGCACTATGTTGAAAATGAAAATATAAAATTAAATGTGGAGATTTGTATTTCAGCAACATTTTATAAAATGCAATTCAAATGCATATTGCCAGTCTTGAACAGGATTCCCTTGCAAAATAAAATCTTTATTTCACCAGGAAAATCCCACTGAGATTAAGGTTTAATAATAATAAAAAATAAAGAGCAGAAAAAACACAAGGACATGCAAAACAGTTTATTGTAACCTTATTAAGTTACAGATTTTTGATTATTATTTATGCAATCTAAGTCAAAYCAGTTAATATTTTGACTGTTAGTTTTTTAACACATATTTTAGCATTCTTAGTAATTTTTCTATTTCCCCAAATTTTCTCAACATTAAGTGGTGTCGTCTTCACAGCAGCATACATTTATGTCAGGCATAAAGTTAGATAAGATGTTCTGACAGTAAAGAATGACACAGTTGAGTGAAACGTTAGCTCAGAACTTATTAAGGTTTGAGTCAATCATATAAATACTCTCATCCATAGATTTTGCACACAGAATGACAAACACAATGAGGCAGCTGCAAAACTGAATGTTGACTGATCATTGAAAATTATTAAATGTATTCTTCTAATTACAAAATTAGTTTGTTAAGAATTAGAACATAAATTAGAATCTCTGGGTTCCTATTCTGCTTTGATAAATATAGATTTTATTTCGTGCATTTTTCAGGCCTGAATAAATATTGACATCAGAAAATGAAAAAAAATGTATGTGTGTTTCCAGACTTTTGTGCAGTTTTCATTTTCTAAAAATATGTGAATATTTACAATGATCTCTGTTTATTTTTCCAGATTTAGCTTTGATTTTAAGATTTAACCGTAATTATTAGTTAATTATTGAGTTACTTTAAAATGTATTTGCTCAAGCAGTGTTACAGGTGCTGTGAGGTGTTGTACTTTTTATGATGGCCTATAGGTTCCCATTGCAAGAGCTCTGCGTTCTCATTGCGATATCCATCCATCCATCCATTTTCTTCCGCCTATCCGGGGTCGGGTCGCGGGGGCAGCAGCTTCAGAAGGGAGGCCCAGACCTCCCTCTCCCCAGACACTTCTTCCAGCTCCTCCGGGGGAACTCCAAGGCGTTCCCAGGCCAGCCGAGAGACATAGTCCCTCCAGCGTGTCCTGGGTCTTCCTCGGGGCCTCCTCCCGGTGGGACGTGCCCGGAATACCTCACCAGGGAGGCGTCCAGGAGGCATCCTTACCAGATGCCCGARCCACCTCAACTGGCTCCTCTCGACGTGGAGGAGCAGCGGCTCTACTCTGAGTCCTTCCCGGATGACCGAGCTTCTCACCCTATCTCTAAGGGAAAGCCCAGCCACCCTGCGGAGGAAACCCATTTCGGCCGCTTGTATCCGGGACCTCGTTCTTTCGGTCATGACCCAAAGCTCATGACCATAGATGAGGGTAGGAACGTAGATCGACCGGTAAATTGAGAGCTTCGCTCTTAATGGGATATTCCTTGTTAAATAATGCCGGGTTCACACCGAATGCGTTTTGAGCAGCAGGAGTGGCCATTTTACATGGAAAGTCTATGGTGGATGCGTGTCTAGGGGTCTTGCGGCGCGCAATGAAGTGGTAGGTGCGGTTTGAGTGTTGATGTGTATGTGGTGCGTCCAAAGCACCCGACGCTCAAGTTTAAAAAATTGAACTTTTGCTGCTCAACAAGCCGCATCAACCAATCAGAATCATTTTTCCTCGTGACGGTTTCCTGAATGTTGCCCACTAACCTGAAACAAATGGACAGGAGCTCTTTAGCTAAAATCGACCGTCTGCAGTTGGTGTTCTGGCTTGAGATGTCAGCACTGATGCAGATTAAGGCTCGTTAAACTGACCGCATTGTTAAACTGGGCTCAGGACAAAAAAAATGTTTGTCAGTTCGCAGCTCCTGGAGAGGGGAAACTCACCAAACAGACCGCCTCTAAATTATCTGGTGAATTAATTATCTGGTGAGTGCAACATTTGCTTGCTCTCAGTTAATAAAGCAAAGCCATTTTCTTTATTTCATCTTTATTTCATCCACCGAAGACAGACCAGAAAAAAAAAACAAGATGCTCCTCCCATTCAGTCGTGCGTCTGGTCTGTGTCCCGGTCTGAACGTAGCACGTCCGGCGATGGGCACGTTTTAGATGCTCAAAACACATTCAATGTCAATATAGCATCAGTATTAAAAATAAGTGATTTAGTGGTTGCCTGCTATTTTTGACCAATCACATGAAAGTGAGGTTTAAGTCAAATGTGGTCTAAATGACCTAAGCACATTTTCAAATTCCTGGATCTTTAATCTACATTTTGATACCTAATCATTCTGATGTTATGAGCAGCTGCAGAGATACATCTTGATTTGTCTTCCTAACCCATTGAAATCTGGTCTGAATGGTATTTTTAGTCTAATCTGACGAAGAATGTGTTTTGTAATTTTAAAGATGAAAACCCAAACAATATTTAGATATTAAGATTTATCATGGAAAGTATAAAAAAGTAGCCTGTCCCTTACCTTCCTACACAGTTCCACTCAGTTCTAGTTTTCCTTCAATGCTCCATCTGGGATTTCTCCCATAGACAAGGATTTCTCCAGGAGCATTTCAGTCGGGCCAATCAGAGAACAAGAAGGCRGAGTTTTGAACAACGCCGATTTTCTGCGGTGTCTGCTTGAGAGTTTAGCAAACGGCAGTGGAGGAAGTGAATGAAGCCAGTGCGTRTTGATAAGGCTTCCAAACTAAATTAAATTTGTCTGACAAAGCAGCAGCTCTTATTTACAGTCGTCTCGTTAGGCTCCGTACTTCTCTCCTCACATTAGGGTTGTTTACAACATACACAATTTCCAGTTAGCTTCTTAGCTTAGCCTCCTTCACAGTGGAGCTGGTATACACAAATGTCACGGCCAACTGGTCCAGTCAATTTAAACTTCAACAGAGGCCACGCCTCCAGATAGAATCACTTCTCCATAGCCTAGAGTCCAGACCCTCGAATGAAGCAAAGCGATGGACAAGGGGCTGGTTTTAACCAGGCTAATAAAAAAGACCTTTCTGCGCAAAACTCAATTTTTGTGTAACTGCTATGTATGCATAATATTTTGTTGTTGTTGCAGACATATTAACAAATGTACTGCTGATTTCTCCACATACCATTTTGCAACCAAATTCTCAATTTGATATGAAGGATCACATTTATAAGGTTTGAAGCTCAGTCTATTGCTTCACTACATGTTTTTTTTCTTGTTGTTTTTGGACAATCATATCAGACACTCTAAAGACCATAACCTTTGTGACATTAATGTAGTTATGTGCAAATTACAACACATTGTCAAACACTTTGTGACCCTAGWTATAGAATAAAATTAACTATGCAATACATTTCCTGTACACATTGGTACGTAGACATAAAAAGTCGCTTGTTTTTGAGATGTCAGTAAGTTTGGTGATGTTTGGAATTTATAAAGTTAAAATGTACAGAAACTCTGGAATCTACTGCCTGTTTAAACGAAACCAACATTAGTCACCCATGCATGTTCTACCCTAAGAGCTCATGACAATACATCCATGTGATCTGTGAAAGCTCTACAGGACACTCACTCATTGTGTTGTGTAGGAATTGTGCTTTTCTGTAAAATGTGAGCTTATGTTACTGACTAAAAATATGTACATGTTGGTAGAATAACCTTACGTGACTTTTCTTTCGTTATCAGGTGTAAACAAGTTTGCAACATTTGGACAAATAAGTCAGACTTGCTAAGCAACTAAGTGCCAAATAAATATCTAGAAATAAGACCATGATTGCTTTTTCCTGTCTGTTAACAACATGCTGTTTTGTTGGACAAGAAACTGATCCTCATAAAAGCGAGTATATGTTATTCCCATGAGTGTTAAAATCCTTCTCAAAGCAACCACCTGCAATCTATACTTCACATAAACACCAAGTAACATTCCAACCATAGTAGTTTTGCTTAAAATAATGGTTTAAAGTTATCTTCTGTATCACTTTACGATTTAGTTTTTGCATGCAAGTATGATCTTGTCTTTTATTTTATTTTTCCAGACATTACCTCAAAAGAGTTCCTTGAACTGAGAGGGAAGCAGCGGAGCCGCTACGAGCTGCTGGTGGATTTCCTGTCTGAGATGCTTTCTGTTCCATCTGGTGATGTTAACATCTTCAGCCTAATGGATGTGAAGGAGCGAATGTTGGATGTTCGCTTTGCTGTGCACGGCGGCTCATCCTTCCTCCAACCTGAAAAAATGCATGGTTATTTGGCTGCCCACAAACAAAAGGTAGGCCACTCTTTGTGTCCTCTATACTTTTATTTAAAAATACACTTGAGGTTTACTCCACAACATCAGTTGTGAATTCTGTTCACAGGTTTCAAACAAAGTGTAGAACATTTTCTTTGGGATTTTGTTTACATGCTAGTGTTGGTCAAACTGTTTTCTTTGTAATTATTTATGAGATTCAAACTGTTAAGATGCAGAAGTGTGAAAGACATTGCAGAATAAATCAGAAATCCTAGTGCTATGTTCTTTTTCAGGACTCGTAAATATTATTTGTCTGTTGTTATTTATTTTAACTTATTGGTGTATTATTTGGTAACTTAATTTGTATCACCTTCTAAAGCAAATCTTGCAGTTTTTAAATAAACTTGTTCATTGTGCGTTCTACACATTTAAAAAGATTGGCTTCCATGATTCAAACCTAGTGTCATATTCTGTAATAAATTGAAATGAAATTGCTGTCTGTGTCAAGATGCACATAAAACTAAAGGGAATCGAGTGGATTACACTTTAAACTCTCAACAATAAACTTGCCTTACACAAGCACCTCCTTTTACATTAGTGCTCTCTTTTCTTGGTAAAGCAAGTGTCCTTAATTTTCTCAAAAACAGCTTCACTCGAGGACCAGTAGTACACATAGTAATGACCTTTACATTGTGGGTTTAAGCATCCTTTCCAAATGTAGGTTTATACTTATGTTTTCAGTCACTGATTACAGTAAAACATAATGCACTGGTTTTTGGCAGATTCTGTTTTGGTTTTCAAAGCAGTTTGTGACTCACTGAAAAATAAGCCTGAACAACTTAGACAGACAACAGAAATCAGTGATTATTTGTATTCTAATGTAACCTTAAATAATGGAGATGGTTATGCTCCCTGTACAACTTTTTTGTACAAATAGTAGTTGGATCTGAAAATGAATAAATCATTTGCCACAAGACATTGTTTTTTTTTATTTCATTTTTATTTATTTTTTATATTTTACATACTTAACCTTGTTTTGAAACATTGACGTGTGATAAGATGTGAATTTGTTTTGACAGTGTTATTTGTTYCTTTTACACCACTTTGCTAGTTGAACATGACAAGAAAATGAGATACGCAGTTAAGTGAGCATCAAAGCTGGCTCAGAAATGGATGGATTTAGGTTATTTCCATTTACATCATATCTCATTAAAATGCAAGTGATGTACATATGTGAGACGTGCACCCTTTGGCTTCATGTTTATTCTGTAAAGGACATGTATTTTCACTGGCATCTTTTTTTTTTTTTTTTTACAAATGTAGGGCTGTGAGTTTTATAGTGTCTTGAAGGTAACATCACTTAAATACAGGTTGGCACTTGAAAATAAACACAATTACAGCCGATTGACTTTTCAGGAAGTATTAGATCTGAATTCTCAGCCTTCTATGTATTGTAGCACCTTCATTGTATAATATCCAGTTGAGAATGAGACAATAAGAACAAAAYGTTGTCCTTTTTGAGTAGAGATGTTGCAACAGTATGTCAGCTCCTGAGTCCACCCTGACTACAAAACAGACATTTATGCATTAAGCATGGACTCAAAACAATCAGTAGCTGTGGTAAATGTGTATCTTYATTTGGGATTGACAGCATTGTAAGAACATTTCTTTCAGCAGTTGATAAATCTCCCCCAGAGTTTATCAGAGTCATTCTGAACCATTCAGATGACCTGGATTTGCTTCAAACATTGTAAAGTCYCAACCACTTAATGGCATATTGCTGTTTGTGTTGTTTCTGTTTATATATTTTTATTCTACTCAAAGGAAATTTTTCTTGGTTTAGGTATTCTCACAAGAGCTTGAGCTTAAACTATGTGTTGTGTCATCATGCAGGTATCATGCAGGTCTAAATGGATGTAAAGCTGATAATATTTTGAGGATTTAGCAGAACTTACAACACTGAAGTTCCTTGGATTTAATGGCAGAAYGCTGACAGTCTCTTAAAAGTCTTGAGTAATCTTGTTAAAGAAAATATCAACACCTGGCAGCTAAAAAGAGACAGGGGACTGAAAAGTGCTAAATTTAGTTGACACTTTCCTGATTTTAATTTTRATTTAATTTAATKTTGCTCTTCATTTGATGGCTGAATACATTAACTGAGAAAGGCAACCTAAGTTTCTAGAAATATAAAGATAGAACATGGCATTTAATAATTTTAGAAACATTACTGTGTAATATGCAGTTATAGGAAAAGAACTAAACTAAACAACATAAAGGCATAGTTAGTACAAAGCAAAACAAGTATCATGACTTGTAAACGCTTTTAATATTTAATATTTTAATATTGTTTTATGCATGTGTTGGCATGGCTTGTTTTCCCCAAAAATAAAATACATAAACAAATCATGCTTGCTTAAATTTTTATTTGCAATCTTTAAAAGTCAATTATGTACTGACAACACAGCAGAGAGTTTATCGATCAAGGTTCTGAAATTATTTCTGTAGATATGGTTGTTTAGAGCAACAGTTCTGGCCCTAAGTTACTGAAAAAAATAAAAAATTTATACAGTAGAAATGAAACATATTAAARACACCAATTCACCACTGGTTTAAAAGATTCATGCAAATGATTAAATTCAAAGTAGTTTAATTACCACTGTTAATTATCTGTTAATTTTACTCACTTTCACTGATGTATTTTTGATTGTTCTAATTCAAGAAATTAACTTGGCATTTCAGGTTCACTTCTCTTAGCTGTAGAATTATTGAATTTGACAGCTCACTGTTAGTCATTAGTCGTTGAGGCAAGAGAACTGACTAAAAGGTGTAAACCAAACCCATTCACATTAACAGTGACCTTTTTATTATTCTTTACAAAGTCATGCTTGATTTTTGTACAGCCTAAATTCAGTAACAAGTTGCCTCTTTTTTCATATTAAAACATTTTCTATAACTGTCTGCCYTTCGCCAAACAGTTTGTTTTATTATCTTATTTACATCAACAGAAATATTAATCATCTTTTTTGTCACTTGGTGTCTACTGGAACTTTTTGGTAAAACCATTAAGCCATAGCTCTTATAGTTAATCTGAACAGCTTCATTTGAAGAACCTTTCATTCATTTTGATAAATGTGTTTGTAGTAATCATTTATGGTTTTCACACATCATCTCAAGCTTTGCATAAAGATTAAAACATTTATATTTATTTTGACAGTTAGATGAGATCTATCTTTGTCTAAATATTCTTAACATGTACATGAACCAACAGAGTTATGGATGCAAAGAAAAAGGTAAATAAATGCATAAATATAGCTAAGCTGTTTGTTGGTAAACAATAGATTTTTTTCTTTTTTATTGGTGTTGGCTGTGGGATAAATTTTGTGCCAGCAGGAATTGAATTTGAATTGCTATTAAAAACTCTGTTTGACTACTTTCACTTTCAGTTCCATAATTCAGATTTTTGTGTCACATCCTGGTCCTTGAGAAAGCCGGCCATAGTAATCAAACACAGATCCACAGATTTATGTTTCACTTTGGTGAAGTTTCCCTTCTGTAATGTRACAGAGTTGATGCAATCCACCGTAAAAGTGACAAAAACAGACAGTTATTTTATTGCAGTGATTAATTTTACCCATATGTAGAAAATGTTACATTTACATCACATCATGGATCACTATTGATCAGATGCTGCGGCCGACTGATCCATGATGAAATAAATGTAACATTTTCTACAAATAGGTAAAATTAATCACTGCAATAAAATAACTGTTTTTGTCACTTTTACAGTGGATTACATGAACTCTGTTACATACAGAAGGGGAACTTCACCAAAGTAAAACAAATATGTGGATCTGTGTTTGATTACTCTGGCTGGCTTTCTCAAGGACCAGGATGTGTGACATAAAAATCTGAATTATGGAACTGAAAGTGTAAGTAGTCAAACTGATTTTTTTATAAACCAAAATATAGTTTCAAAGCAAATTAATTCAAATTCAAAACTTTAAATTCAGTTTCAAATCATTAAATTCAGTTTCAATTTAGTGAAATTCATTTTCAAACCAATGCATTCAGTTTCAAATTATGCACATTCAGATTCAATCTGAGCWATTCAAATYCAAYTCCTGCTGGCACAAGATTTATCCCACAGTTGGCAGTGGGGTAGTTGTGTGGAAAGGTTAGATTCAGTTAATATGTATTGTAGACATCTTTGAACAATTAAATTCAGAAAGATGTAGTTTAATTGTGACTGCACTGATGAGATAAAAGAAATGCAAAAGGCATTCAAAACCAATGTAGCTTGCTGTTCTTTTAAAATGCCTTCAAAATAATAATGCAAATAATTAMACATGAGCATAGTTTCATAAATTGTTACACTGCTCATACTGTCTGTTTCTGTAATATCAGAATTTTAGTACAATGCTATGCTTATTTGCAAGTGCAAAAAGAAGCAACAGCAGCTAGCTGTGATACTTCTGATACAGTCTGGGTCATTTCCAGCAGGAGTTCTGCATAACGCAAAACTGACATCAGTGTAAATGTTTATAAAATAATAAAATGTCTTGAGTTATGGTATTGTAATGTTTAACAAGGATAAGACACATAAAAAATTTTAAAAATAAAGATTTTAACATAAACAGAGTTATCCTCACTTTCTAGCCGCCGGCTTCAGTCAGACCAAATTTAATGCTCAGACGTTTGAAAGAAAATTGAGGAACATTCCCTGTGAGTGTTAGGAGAGAGTTTTTTTTATAGAGGTTGAACTGTGAGCATTTTATGTCTGAAAAAGAGATAGCTCAACTTGTATCCTGAGAGAAGATGATGAGGCAGAATAGATCTGCATTTCCTGTCTCTGTGGGGTGAAAACAGTCAAGTCCTGTTGTGATTGTGCTGGTCAGATCAGGTGAATCACCAGTTTCTCTTCCTGGTAACTTCCCATTTTTATACAACTGTTTTCAACAAAGATGACAGAAAGATTAAAGACGCAATAAAAAATGAATGGATAAAAATATTAGAAAGAAAATGGCATGCATGGGAGAAAG